TACAGACGCGCGCCACCACACCCAGCTAATTTTTTGTATTTTTAGTAGAGACGGGGTTTCACCATGTTGACCAGGATGGTCTCAATCTCTTGACCTTGTGATCCACCCGCCTCAGCCTCCCAAAGTGCTGGGATTACAGGCATGAGCCACCGCGCCTGGCCTGAGACAGGGTCTCATTTTCTTGTTCTGTTACCCAGGCTGGAGTGAAGTGGCACAATCCAGGCTCACTGCAATCTCTGCAACCTAAGTTTTCAAGTGATTCTCCAATCTCAGCTCCTGGGTAGCTGGGACCACAGGCACGTACCACCACACTTGGCTATGTTTCTGTATTTTTAGTAGAGACAGGCTTCACCATGTTGGCCAGGTGGCCAGGCTGGTCTTGAACTCCTGATCTCAAGTATTATCTGTCCACTTTAATGAATGCTTTAAAGCATTAAAAGAATGCTTTAATGAATATTCTGGGTCTGCAACTTACTAGCAATGTAATTTTAAGTAATAATTTCTCTGTAGGATAGTAATGGTACCAGTGGATTGTCCTGAAGATGAAAAAGGTTAAGTATATCTAAAACATTTAAGAACAGTGCCTGGTACACAGTAAGCACTATATAGGTGTTACATTAAAAAAAAATTATTACCCAACTCTTTAAAGCTTTTTAAGGATCACTACCTTTCAGAAAATTTCCCAGATATTGGCTTATTGAATTTCATGGTTTGAGTATCAATATAGTTTTTTATTTATTTATTTATTTTTGAGACAGGGTCTCTCTCTATCACCCAGGCAGGACGGCAGTAACATGATCATGGCTCATTGCATCCTTGAACACCTGGGCTCAAGCAATCCTTCCCCTTCAACCTCCTGAGTAGCTGGGACTGCAGGCATGTACGACCATGCCTAATTTTAAAATTTTTGTAGAGACAAAGTCTTGTTCTGTTGACCAGGCTAGTCTTAAGCTCCTGGCCTCAAGCGATCTTCCTGCCTTGGCCTCCCAAAGAGCTAGGACTATAGGCGTAAGCCACCATGCCCAGCCAAATTCTTTTTTTTTTTTTTTGAGATGGAGTTTCACTCATGTTACCCAGGCTGGAGTGCAATGGTGCGATCTCGGCTCACCGCAACCTTTGCCTCCTGGGTTCAGGCAATTCTCCTGCCTCAGCCTCCTGAG